TCTAACTTCTTCGCGCGTCAGGCTTCGCGTGATTTACTCTACTGAATATTCGCGACTTATTCGTCTCACCTTCTTTTTTTTTTTCTTTTTTTTTTTCTGTTTTCTCGCTTCTCGAAGAATAGGAAAGCGGCCCGGCGACGAGCGGGGAGGCTCGACGTACGTCCTCGTCGAACAGAACAAAAAAATGAACGAGGGACGAGACGTTCGAGCGCGGAGATCCGCCGCGCCGTTGTCGCTTTCGTCACGGCACCTTGCACATTTTTGCACGGTGGTCCCAATTTTGTGTTAATAATCGCGATCGCACTCTTGTTATTGCAAACGTTAGACGTCGGTTCTCGCACGCAGTCCTCGCCGTCATCTCGTCATTTGTAAATATACACCGCGCCATACCGCAATAACATTCGTCTCAGGGGACAAGCAAGTCTCGATTCGTCGATTCTCGAAACGAAGGCCTTCTCCCTTTCTTCGAGAGATCTCGCTCGAGAGAGATTGCACGCAAGCATCCTCGTCGGAGACATCGATCAAATAGGACAACGTTGCTAAATCAACAATTGCTAAATTTTCTTCGTATCGCGGCCGCGGCCGATCTTTCGCGAGTTTCTCGCTTCTCCCCCTTTTTTGTTTTATTCTTTCTTTTTCTTTTTCTTTTTCTTTTCTTTTCTTTTGTTCTCCTACGATCGCTGTTCTCGCAATTTTGCAAGTTTCTCCATTCAAAAACTGCCGTTCAAATTATTCGGCCTATGATAATTTCTTCTCGTTCACTCGGTCTTCTCATTCACGCCGTGAATCACCGTGATTTTCCACCTCTTCCGTATGCTACTTCGTCTATTTCTGACCTATCTACACGAATATCTACTTAAATCTGCGTGTCTCTATACAATCCTGTGAACCAGGTATTTAAAAGGTTTTTACGCGTACCACATAGACCTATAATAATATATAGGTTCGATATGAGTTACTCGTTTCAGATACGAGGGATTATTTTGTAAAATAGGTACGTAATATAATTCTTCGAATAGGCGGTGATAAATGTTAACGACGAAGTAACAATACAATATTGCTCGATTCCGTATTGTATAATATATATATGTATATATATGTATGTATATATATATATATATATATGACAATATAACAACATTATCCGCTCGCAAATAAAGTAGTCTCTTCTTGCATCCGACTCTCTCTCTCTCTCTCTCATACTCTTTCTCTCTTCTCCCTTTTTTTGTGTTTTTTTCTTTTTTAAAGATCTACATAAGAAGGGGGCTCACCGCGCTCGTTCCGTAAATATTTATTCATGTATATGTTTGTATCATATGTATGTATATATATGTATATATACACATACATATATAATCTTTATATATATTTATACTTATTTTTATAATCGTTTGTATATTTCTTCTCTGTGTCAAAGTGAATAATTACGATAGGCCTAACGATCTCGAGTAACAATCATAATTACTACTGTCATCTATCATTTGCTCTATATTTCTCTCTCTCTCTCTCT